TATATCACAAAAGATGAAAATATGATATGGCAAGCTTTGTTAGGTTGTAAAATATTTACCAGTAAATGCTCAGCTGTAAGTTTTGAATGGTTTGCAAGAAATATATCATCTTTTTTTTTTACAGGATTAAAAATGAAATTAGATAATTGCTGGTATAAAGTTTGCAGGTTGTAAGGAGTGGAGTTTATAACACTCAGCGTATGGTTGTAATACTCTGTCAATTTAGTACTATATTTATATTTATATTCATTGTTATATTTTTCCTAATTAGATTTACCCTTAGAAAGGAGTGTGATCCACATTTTTTGAAACTTAATAAAGCTATTTCATGTTTATTTATCAAATTAGCTCTGTAACCTGTTATTAATTATATTACTCCAAATAGCTATTTTCCTATATTCTTCGCTAAAACGCATCGAAAACTATAATACGTTTAAGAATGGTGTTTCTTTTAGAGTTATTTTTCTCACATTTGTGGTGTTTAGATATCAAGTCTTTTCATGATCAATCAAAGGCTTTTACTTAAGTTTTGAAAGATCAAACACTGTTCAATGGATAATAAAAAATAATTTATACAAAAACATTGAGTAGTTAAACACTAGTGAGATTGAAATAATAGTCTAGTAACTTATTAAACATGCTTGGTTAAAGTTACTTAATTACTTTCTTTGACATCATTTACGTTGTTTCGTGTTATTTCGGTTCTTGATATTGAGAAGATGGATTACTTGGAATAAGAATTTCAGGTCTAGATTGTTGGTTTCAGACAATGTAATTATATAGATAAATATAAACTAGAAACACTTTATCCACCACATGTTAATCTCGGTATATTTTACTTATTATGTCTACATAATTTAAACCATTAACATGGTAAGCATTTTCACTAGTATTATATAATAGCATGTAGCAATAGAAATAGAACATTGGTTATTTACAATAAACCGATACTAAATGATACAAAATAGTATAAATATAGCTGCCTTAAACATTGTTGACTAAACTTACATTTTTTTATTTTTTAAGAGACCGAAGTACCATAAGTTTACAATAAATCAGATGAAAATTTAGAATAAAATTACCTATCCATACAACTAATATAAAAGTAATGTGAAAAAATTACCCACAACTTATTCACATACTTTCTATTTTTGTATAACTGGGTGCATAAGTAAATATTCCCTGTTTATCATTTAATTGTTAGAAATTCGTTTTTCTCATGTCTATTGGTATATTATTTATGTGTTAGAAGTTCGTTCTTTTGTTTTCTACTGGTATATTATTTACGTGTTAGTAGTTCGTTCTTTTGATTTCTGCTGGTATATTATTTATGTGTTAGAAGTTCGTTCTTTTGTTTTCTACTGGTATATTATTTATGTGTTAAAAGTTCGTTCTTTTGATTTCTACTGGTATATTATTTATGTGTTAGAAGTTCGTTCTTTTGTTTTCTACTGGTATATTATTTACGTGTTAGTAGTTAGTTCTTTTGATTTCTGCTGGTATATTATTTATGTGTTAGAAGTTCGTTCTTTTGTTTTCTACTGGTATATTATTTATGTGTTAAAAGTTCGTTCTTTTGATTTCTACTGGTATATTATTTACGTGTTAGAAGTTCATTCTTTTGATTTCTACTGGTATATTATTTACGTGTTAGAAGTTCATTCTTTTAATTTCTACTGGTATATTATTTACGTGTTAAAAGTTCGTTCTTTTGATTTCTACTGGTATATTGTTTACGTGTTAAAAGTTCGTTCTTTTGATTTCTACTGGTATATTATTTACGTGTTAGAAGCTCGTTCTTTTGATTTCTACTGGTATATTATGTACGTGTTAAAAGTTCGTTCTTTTGATTTCTACTGGTATATTATTTACGTATTAAAAGTTCGTTCTTTTTATTTCTACTGGTATATTATTTACGTGTTAGTAGTTCGTTCTTTTGATTTCTACTGGTATATTATTTACGTGTTAGAAGTTCGTTCTTATGTTTTCTGCTGGTATATTATTAACGTGTTAGAAGTTCTTTTGATTTCTACTGGTATATTATTTACGTGTTAGAAGTTCATTCTTATGTTTTCTGCTGGTATATTGCTCAACAATTTTAAAAGTAAATTAAAGTTTTGTTTACAGATAAAACAAGTAATAAAACAAAAAAACTACATTTTGCTACTTATCCACCTGACGATGCTTGGTAAACCTTGCAAAACGTAGTGTTTTTTGAAAACTAAAAAAGTTTTAAAAACACATTCTTGTTTAATTCGTAAACAAAACTTCAGTTTTCAAGTTACAAGTTCTTCCTTTATTTTAATGTTAGAAATAGTTCTTCTGGTCTTTGTTGGTACACTTTTTAAGGTGTTAGAAATTGTATTTCCTGTTCTCTGTTGGTAAATTACATTTCTCACGTAATAACAGGGAAAACTTTTTCATACTGTAGCAGTGAATAAAAAATGTTGAATGTAAACTCATTGTATAAATCACCCCATCTGCTTTTCAATTGGCTTTAGTAATATACGTGGTTCTCTTTTAAACCTTTATACTAACAAATATATGTAAATGACGCTTTTATCATTTTCGAAGTGGCTGAGACGTTCACTCATTTGCTATACTATCTCAGCAGTAAATATGTTCTTCATTTCATAGTATCACAGCAACAAGGGCAAAAACCTTTCTTTTTACAGACGTATATTCATAACAGTGATGGTAAATTTGGATTGGAAGTCTATTATTGTTAGAATAAATCACAGGTCTTTATTTTAATTTTGCTACTTTCGTAATAGCGTTGCTTAAAAAACAAACAGGAATATAATATTAACACAACGTAATTTTAACTTCACAAACATTTATAAACTTTGCTTAAAGCATTAAATAACAACAAAACTGTCATGATAAGCATTACTATTTTTACCTAAATAAGTTAGCTTTTTAAAGAGACGAAAATACAATGTTTTCAAGCAACTTGTATCTATTGTAATAGTTTTTATTGGTACTCAAGTTCTGTATATATCGACACAACTTTGTGTCCATAGAGTTTAACTTCACTTGCAATTAGAATACATTGCTAAATCTGACGTTCTCTACTAAATAACTTGTTTCTGATGTTCATAATTTTGTACCGACCGTATCACAGTACCGCTAAAGGCTTGTGTGGAAGGACATGTAAGTATAAGAGCAAGAACCACGTCAAGTGTATTAAAACATACTGTAGGTAAGTAGGATATTGTTGTTCATTCAAATTATTTTAAGACATAACAAAAGGCGATTACATAAGCAACCTCAGTATAAAATAGTTTGTATATAAATAGACTGTGAGATAGATTCCCATCTACTCAGCTGTGCTGTGGATTTACTTCAAGGAAACATCCCTAGGAATTGTTTACATTGAATATTTGTATCTCGTATGATAGGGAATGTCTGAGAGAAAACACCGAGATAGCTACCTTCATTTACATTCCTACATAACTGTAAAAGAAGGTTATGTCTGCTCTGAAAGTCTTGCATGTGCTTTGTAAAAGCTACAGACAGTCTTAAAATTGTAGATTTCACTACATGCATGCGTGATCCTTACTTGTGAATAGCTTCGATAAAACCTTAAAAATTCTTAAATGCTGTAGCAGTATCTAAACTGACTCTTATTTCAATGGTTAAAAACTTCAAATCAACCATAGAACTTCAACATATACCGTGAGGAATCGATTTCACTAAAGAAGAAAACCAATTTTGAGATTTACAAAAAAGAGCAGTTCGATATACTAGGATGTTCATGGCTCTCAATAATATATGAAAGATAAACCGGATGTCTCTGTACACAGTAGTGCCTGCTCACAGACCTATCCTCTACACAATTTAAATTCAGTAACAATCACATCTAATTCTTATATGTGTGTGATTGTGTCGTTCAGGAAAAACTTTCATTCATTCCTAAAGACAGTGCGTTACTCTTCGAAATTCCATCAGATGTGTGTGCTAACCTAGCTTAACAGCTTTTGTTCCCATTTATGGAATCTAATGGCGGGATTTTACAAAACCAAAAAGACATCAAATTCAGCTAAGACATCGCGGTTCTGGCTAATCGAGAGTTGTTTTGCATTAAGGTTGCTTTAATTAACTGGTCGTGCTGTGAATATAGTTATATGTCCGCGTGTTATGTTATGAGCCTGAGACATTCCCATTTTGTCATGCATGAGTTTTATAACAATCAACAATCTATGATGGCACATCTAATTAGCCTGAAGAATCACAACCTTGTGGCTTATAATAATCCGTTTAGCCAACGTCTAACATGCATTGAACACATTAATTTAACAGTTAAGGACCACGAGTAACATTTTACTATTGTTTTCAATAAAATACTTGAGTTTCAACATTTTTATGGAAGAGGGACAGAATGTACTGCACATATAATAAATAACATTATCGTTTTGTCTTATATGCGATACTTAATGATGGGGGATACTTTCATAGAAGTGAATTCAACATTTTCTATTCTCGCTTAAAATACACGCAAACAGAACTCACAGCTAGTCTTGGCTAACATAATTATAGTTTCGATTGAAATTGCTAAGTATATGAAACAATTTCTTTCTTAGTAACAAAACTGAACCATCTAATCTGAAAAATACGTAATTACATTGAAAAACCAAACCTTCCAACTATTGTAATGTTAATTAAATAACACAAATAATTAACCTATAACAAAAATATAAACCATTAATACAGACACTTAATTAAAACAGGTAATCCTTTTATCGAAACAAACATGACTTAAGAAATTATCTGTTGGCTACACCATATTGACAAAACCCATCACCGAAATGATCTAAATCCACCACCTCAAATTAAAAAAACACGCTCACTTTAATTAAAAAGAGGCTCTATAGGATTAAAAGAACCATCCCCTACTTTGATTAAAAGAACCATCCCCTAATTTTTATACAGTTGATCTTTGAAACTGCACTATTCGCCGTCTAGTCGTTTGGCACTTTAAAATCATAAAAATCCATAAATATAATGTACTGTTTATGGCTCGTATCAGCGTAATTCATACATATAATTTCATTGTAATGATAAGTACAAAAATACAGAAGAACTCCTAAGAAAACATGATATACGGTGCTTAAGTAAGCATCAAATATACATGTTAAACATTACTTCATAAGTTTAGATATTTATACATAGCTATTTCATGGACGGGTCATTAATGCTGCTAAAAATAATTTTTTAATCTTAACAAAAACTAGAAAAGACAAAGCCAATCAAACTGTAGGCATCATTGTATAATTTCCAATGGATGTAACACACACATTCACATTTAAAAATACCATTTTCTAAACCAATTTTTTAGATTTACAAAAGCCAGAAGATGTTGACGTCCACAAAATCTTTTGACAAGATGTGTCAAAAGATTTTTTTACGTTCAGCAGTGGCTTAAGTGCAGTTTCTATTAGAAAGTCAAATAAACAAAATAAAAATTTAGGTGACTGGCACCTTTTCTTTAATAAATGTTTAAAGTTAATATTTCTCTCTTGTAGGATAGACAGGAGTAAAGCCGATGAGACACCTTATATGTAGAAGAGGAAACATTTCTTGAACCATTGTCCCTTTCTTGTATTGATATTTTCCATGATTTGAATATTTCTTCATGGAGTAGAAATATGGACAACGTGGGCTTTAGCAAACGAAACTACTAGCCACAAATAAAACAAGTTGAACAAGAACTAATTGTGGCCAAATGGTGGCAGCACCTCCTGTTTTGTCCTCGGTATAGGGTAGGTAGTTTGTTTTAGTTAAGCTTGAAGCGTCTTCATCATAGTTTCCTGCGAGATTTCCTGCAATAAAACCAAAATTTGTAATTATATAAGGAAGCAAATATTTTAAATCTGATACCTTAGCTTCAAGAGTTACCACCATAAATAATTTTTACACCAAGTATTTAGGCAAAGTGTTAATGGCAAACGTGGTTTAGCTAATATATATAAATATATTTAATATAAGTTGTTAATAAACAGGAATGGTTTGCATAAGGTATATATGTATGCTTTGCTAGTAATAAAAATGATTCTCATAATATATATTCGTGTATATTGTTATTACTAGAAGAAATTTAGCTAGGGTAAAGTGTTGGAACTAATTAGCAGGTAATACACATACAACAGTCACAAAAACCGAGTAATTGAAACTACGAGGTCAATTTACCCTTAGTAAATTACTTTACTATTAACAAAATACAAAAAAGCAAATAAATAAGATTTTAAAACAGCAGTAAACCTTATTTTTATGCTGCTATAAGTTTATAAGTGCATGATTGTGTATTATTGTTCCAAATGTTCTGTATTACTAATCACAACTCATCCAAATTGTTTGTTGCAGTTGGACTTTTTCACATAAAGCCTTAAAAATATTCACATAATTTTGTGCAGGTCAAGTCATGGTTGTGAGTGATGCTCTGCCTCCCTCTTTCAGGTATCATTTATCATGCGTATGATAAATTACTTTCTGGAAGATGAATTTCTGGACAACAGCTCTTGTTCTTGGGGGGAATGGAATGATAGATAAGAATCTGATTGTATCTATTAGCAGTAAGCGTAACATTAATTTTGTGTAGATATCCAACAGCATGGATGGAGATGCAGCCCACATTTCTATTGGTTCCCCCATATGTTTCACCGTAGATGATGAATGTTAACCATATTCTTAACTCTCTTCCATCAAATAAACTATAACTGATTGTTACCTAACTATTTGAATTTTGATTTCCATACAAATACCACTTTCCTCCAGTTTTTCTTTAGATTGTTTGAAATATGATGCCCGTTTCAGCATTTTGGTTTGGCATGTCTTCTAATCAGTGGTTTTTGGGCAGTTACACAACCATTGCGTTAATGTATTAATGTACATTCGGGGGTTAGCTTTTAGCTATATCATTGGCAAGATTCCTTCTAAATTACCCTGTGTCATATACTCTAAATTATTTAACATTATTTTTGAGGAGTTTGGGCTTTCTACTACGACCGCTTCTATTATCAACAGTACTATTGGCGCACCTTTTTAGGCGTTTCCATGCAATTAATACTGAAATAAAAGCTTTTGCCTCAATCTGTTACATGGAGTAGCCTTCGGTAGACAAAAATATTGATTTTTGTACGTTTGTATAGTGGGATAGTATAGTGTCCTGGGAGCCATGAGTGAGTTTATCACACTATGGCTAAGAATGACTTTTTTCAACAAATTATGCACATATTAGCTAAATTCAGAATTATATTGAAAATTTTCTACAAACTTTTATCTTTTTCATTGATTTTACTTCTTCATACCACATAATACCTTCATATACCATCCCGTAAAGCTTAAAGCTTATCGGCAGGAAATGTTCTATTGTACTATATTAATTGTACGTGTATTAGTTCATAACATAATTTTTGTATTATCAACCAGTTTTTTTATTAATTGTTAACATTAACATATGTTTTAATATCCATTCACTTTCTTGGAATTATATTAAATAACCTTGGTACTTGATAATTTAATTAATTTTTTCCATAATTATGTTTTATACTTCAGGTAATTTATAATAACGTTTTTAATCATGATGTATCCTAATTTTAAAAGGCGATGAAAATAGTGCTTTGTTATAATAGTATATTAGTATACATTATTATACAATATTATATTGGTATAATTTAAATACATTTATTATATTCAATGTTATATTTCTTTCATAAGCAACCATATTATTTCTTTTTCTTATTGGTAAATGCCTTTTAATATACTGTTCTGTAACTACAATATTTTACTTACATAAGAATTGTAAGTAGACCCGTATATTGTTATACCATAACAAATCATAGACTGTCATAAAGAAATATAAACCAATTGGTATACAGAAGGAGGAGTATTAAATTGAAGTTTATATATTTTACATCTATAAAATCTTAATCTATTACACATGTGTTCTACGTGTGATCTCCATCGAAAATTAGAATATATGATGATTCCTAAGTATTTAAATTTGATTAAATTTTCAATTATTGTACAAGTACATGATCGCCTAAGTTTAATTGTATTTTCAGAAATACATTTAGTCAAACAAAATCCAGTATAAGCAATCAAAAGAGGGTAATTTGAAAGTATACTTTATGAATGCACATCTATTTAGTTTGTTCTGTAGTTAAATAGGTATCATTTAAGTTCAGCCATTTCACAATATCATTAAAATCCATTTGCATACTACACGTTGCTAAAGTATGATTATAATCACTTACTCCTAAGGCACTGCCATCTACATACATATAAATAGAGGAAATGAAGAAATATCATTCATATATATTAGTAAAAATAGACGGTCTAAACTGGAACTTTGTGGTACACCAGGTGTGACTTTTCTGTAATTACTGTAAATATTTCTGATTTTAGCATAAATTAATCCGTCTTTTATATAATTTTTAAACCAATATAACATCTCGCCTCTTATTCTTATATTCTACAACTTATAAATTAGCAAGTTATGGTCTACTGTATCAAAGGTCTTAGACAAGTCTATAAATAAATAAATAATACATTAACAGTCTTGTATTTATTCGCTAACAAGTCTATAAATAAATAAACAATACATTAACAGTCTTGTATTTATTCGCTAACCTCTTCTGAAAAAAACTTTTCCAATAGTGTAATTGTTCTTTTACCTTCTTGATAACCATATTGTCTTGGGATATAATTTTGTATCTGTGTAAATATTTTCGAACAATATTATCAAGATATCGTTCCACAATTTTCTCTATCTCCAGTAAAATAACAATTGGTTGATAATTATATTTTGAAACCATAGGTCTTACCACTGATATTTCTTATTGATATGGAATAATTGATGATTCATAAATCATATTTAACAGTTTAACTAGCGTATCAAAGAAAGCATTGTTGCTATATTTTATATTTTATCTATACAGAGGTCTTTTTAATATCAATTTTTACTAATACTTTTTATTATGTTATCACATTTGTAAAATAGAGTAAATTAGAAATAATTGTTTGAAAATAATTACTACTATCAATATATAGATGATTGTCTGAAAATATACATTATTGGCCAAAATGTTTGTGTATTTTGTAACGAATAAGATCATTATTATTAAGATGGAATATAAATGCACTTAGAGTTTTCAAACTGAGAAATGCATGTTATAATAAACATCTACATATGTAATTCGTATAATGAGACAGGTTCTATGGATATCATGAATGATTTATTAGAACAGCAAACAATTTTATCAGACACATGCAGAAAGATGTGTGATTCAGCATTTCACCTCTCACTACAAAACTTTATCAAAACATATATAATGACAAAATATAATATCAAATTATTATAAATAGTGTCTGTAACCTTATATAAGTTCATATTAAACATTCAGTACTTGATTAGTCCTCCTCGTACACTAATAACCTCCACAAGGTGATGTGGCATGCTGTCAATGAGGTTGCTGATGTAATCCACTGTGATTCAATCCAACTTCTCCCGAAAAAACGCTGCAACTCAACTAAAGTAGCTGGTTCGGGATCTTGGTTAGGAATGTTTTGGCTCCATTCAGTCCAACAGTTCTCAATGAGATTACAATCTGGAGAATTTGCTAGCCATGACAATCTTATAACGTCCTTCTGACCGAGATAATCCTGCACAATACGTGCACTATGGTGGGCAGTGGCACTGCCTTCTTGGAACACAAAGTTATTGCCAAACCTTGCCCTAGCATATGGCAGAAGTGTCATCTCCATGTGATGCCTGTTGGAGGCGCCATTGACGATGAACATGAATTCAACACTCAGCTTTAACAAACCGAAAAGAGAACTCATCTGAAAAGATGACATGTCGCCAGTGTCCTAAGTGTAAGTTGGCATACTGTCTTGCCCAAACAATACGGTAATGACAGTGAATTCTGGTTAATATCAGTTTGCAAATAGACCCTCTTACAAAATAACCTTGTTTGGTCAGTTCCCTATTTATTGTTCTTTTGGATATCTTGGAATGAATCTGTTCATACCATTCCTGTTGTAAGGTGTTGCAAGACTTCTTTCAACTTTGACATGTTAACCTGATCAAAACATGATCGTTTGGGATATTAGTTTTTCGGTGTTTACTAGTAAATATTCCTAGTACAACGTTTCATGTAGTTCAATGACGTTTCAGGATTCTGTATGCAGTACACCGGGGGTACCCTATTGTTCTGGTAATGTCCGTTTACTTCTTACCATTTTTGGACAGTCAAACAATTTGATGCCCTATAACTCCTGGCACGTGACGAAGCATGACTCTATACTGAGTACAAAGAAATTGTCTGAACAAAGCATTGATCTGTTTCATAAAATATTATACCAAAAGCACAACCTTTTATACAAAAGAGGTTTATATGTATTTTTTGACAACCAAATGTTCAAAACAACTTACACAGACCAGAATAACAACTCATACATATTTGTCTGATCATACGCTACCTTCTCTGTTACCACTCGAACATTTATTCAATAACGCTCCATGCATGTGGACAATAACATCAATATAGAACATTTTGCAAACATTTTAGCCAAGACTGTATTTCTATCATTTAATGTATTTATTAAATCTGCATAATAATTGTTAAACTTCTCTCCTATATCTTCAATAGTAATTATATTTGACATATTTCTAATGATAACATCGTCACTTGAAGTTTTTATTTATTTATAAAAATACTTGATTGTTTGTTTTTCGTAGTTAAGCACAAAACTACACAATGGGCTATCTGTCGTCTGCCCTCTACAGGTATCAAAATCCAGTTTCTAGTGTTGTAAGTCCACAGACATACTGCTGTGCCACTGGATGGATACTTGATTCTAATCATTATTATTCAGATTTCACTATGATTCAGGCAAATTTCTGAGTTGCACACACAAACATACTACCTGAAAGTAGTCTAAAATAATATTAAGCAAAGGAAGTGGATTATGCCTCAATGGACTTTCTATTTTAAGGTGTTAGTTGAAATATGACTTGATTGGAGACGAAACTTTTGTGGATTAATATTCCATACCAGACTTAGAGATGTTAACGAAAATCTTTATCAGATCAAAGCTAAGTCGTGTATGTAAAATATTGCTGAAACACAAACATAATCGAGAGTTTGATGAGTGGAATCGTGAAATGTGTAAGAACAACTTTCTCGGGAAATAACGCGAGTGGAGTATAAATTCTAAGTCTCGGTTAAGGGGTGTCAGGTTTATGTATGGTCCGGATTCCTTACAGTAGGTTTCTGTGATGTTTTTGGCGATAAATTTCAACAATAAACAAATAGCACACAGCCCACTTGTTTTAAAATAATATATTAAAAAAGTCAAATGTATATACAAACGTTCGTTACACTGTTGGTTATCACAGTTGTATCTAAAGCTTTAAATAATTGTTTCGTTTTCGTCAAAGTCCACACAGGCTGGTTCAACTACTTTAGAACACAATTGACAAGAAGAATTATTTTTCTCTAATCTGTTATTCCAATACAATCTGTGATAATTTCATTTTAAAAACTGCCACTATACGGTCTTTATGGCTAAACTCATAATTGCACAGTCTGAATATATCTTTTTAACTACATTTTCGACATCTATTTATATCCCGACAGACGTCTAGAACGTTCCACATGCTATTAGATAGTGATACAATAATATTCAATTAAAACAACGAGAAACCTCAGAAGGTTCTAGTAACATCACGCAATAATATAAAAATCATGAATTCATAACTACTGAACTACACAACGTATGATTTGAACAGTTACATATAACAACCTGCAATAAACAATCGTTTTTAAAAATAACTACTTTTAACACTCTAAATCCAAATCATAATACTCGCATTGAACTTACGGAAAAAAGTCGTGTATATCTAATGAGGGATATAAGGTCACCAGAACGTAAATGAGCTGTGTTGACGCAAGGTTTGATGCTTGTGCTATTTGTTGTTGAGGAAAGGAGTTGATATCATGGTTCGTGCTTCTATAAATGTTCTGATTTTCGACGTCATGAGGAGTCGATGATTTGTCCTTGTTTTCAATTGATATGTCCGATGTTTTTTTCTTGATGTTCGAAATTCAAGTTTTGTGTTTTATGAATAACCATATAAAAATGTAGGCGAAATCACCCATTTTCTATGTAAAATATTTGGTAGACAATAGCAGTATTTAATCAAATTAATTTCAAAATTAATGTATTTTTGTTTAACTTTTGCTGTGTGACTCACATTTTTCAAAGGCATTGTAACCTACAACGTTATGGATACACAAACGATTTGGTAGATAAATAGCTTTATAGTTCTAAGGTTCAGTGAGATTCATTTATGTAAATTGTCAGAATATCAATGATTTTGTAGAGTATACTTATTTAGTGTCATACAGTAATAATTTATATAGTTAATTTTTAGATATTCTTTTTTAACAGTAACATTTTACATAAGGTATATTCAAGTGATATTAGAAAAAGCAGGAACAGTTATGTTTCAGTTAGCACACATGTAAAGGTAGATACACCAATGTTTTGCAAAGTGCTTTTTCTTATAAAGTATCAGTAACAAACATATTTTAGACTGAGTATTTTAAGTAAATAGACACATTTTTGTATCACTTGGAGTATATTTATTCCGTGTGAGTAATAGTTGTAATAAACATTATCCTAATCAATGGTGTCATTAAAACAGAATGTTGAGAAGAGATAAAAAGAAAAATGGTTTCAGAAAGGTATACTCAAATAATATTAGAAATGAAAGAATTTTTATAACATAATTTGTCAGTAATGTTAGTGGTATTAATGAAATGTTTTAAGTAATGAATATCCACATAGTGTTACTAAAGAAATAACATAAGAAAACTAACATAATTTGTCAGTAACAGCAGTAATGTGAAGTATTAATTAGAGAAATGTTTAAGTTAAGAATATCCACACAGTGTTAGCAATTATATACAACACCAGATTATGTCCTTAAATGTTTCTGAATATGATGTTAATTAGAACAACGATTTACCAATAGGATATTCAAGTAGTGTTAAGATTAGCAGGGTTTCAGATAATGTATATTATTGCGTAATTTGATAAGGGCATTATTTATTGTATATTTATGTAAAGTTCTAGTAACCACAATGTCTTACACAGGATGCCATCAGCTATGTCCGTGCAGAGTGTCAGGTGCAACAGAGTTTTGCATAGTAATAATTACTGTTAGCACCAACAATGAATCAAAGAACATACAACCATGAGGCTTTAAATAAACAGTTGTACATAATGCATATTTCTGTAAAGAATTATCATTGTTTATACGATATTTATATATAGTGTTAATATCAAGAATGCTGTATATATGTATATATATTAAGTGCAGTCAAAGTATATAACATGTGCTATATATAGTTTTTAATATTATATTTACTACAAAGACCAGCACACTAATTAGTAGGCCATACCTCACCTCTGTTTTATGAAAACTATATCTAATTAAGTTTAAAGAGCTAGTGAGAATCTAACCTTGATTAAGTTTGAAGTGATCCTCTTCATATTCAATTTTTAAGAAAGTTGACATCTCTACTTCAAAAACCTTATTTGGATCATCTGGGAGTTTCGCTGGAATGCTGCGTCGTTTTCTGCCATATCCATACTGGTCATCGCCACATGGCACCTAAAGTAGAAAAAAAATGCTAAAATTAATTTCTTTGAAAGTTTATGTAATAGTAATACATACAGGATGTAATTTTCATTAGTTAACATAGCACAATAGCATGATTGATTACATATTGTAAACCTTATTTTATACATAATTTATGTAAAACTGAACTTCACAATGATATATATTTTTTATCGACACTTGTAATCGTAGTAATAAAGGTTTGAACTTAAAGCCTAAAAATACTCCTTTGTCACACGACTGTGTGGAGATTTTCACTAAAGTGTTTGCTTCTGGCTTAAGTTATGTGATACAAACTATATCTAAACCCCTATCCCCCACTCTCGTATAAACGTGTAAATGAACAATTATATTACTTAGGCCAAATAAACTGCAGTGAGCGACATTAACTTTAACTAGAGATAACTTATATTTGGCCAGATATGTGTTAAGAAAATAAAATAATTATAAACAGACGGTCATTTGTTTTCGACTAAATAACCAGCAGTAGGCGGTAAAAAGTATAAAAGGAGCACCATCTGTAGTTGAATAAAGGAACAACATAAGTATAAATAACTACAAGTGGAACGTCGATTGTATTTCTTTAAATATAAATCACTAAATAGAAGTAAATTCAAATAAAAAATAACTTGATTTTGGCTAAAGAGGCAACAATAAGTAGAAATAAATAAAATTTACACTTTATTACTAATGTGACCTTTCTTAAGTTAATGACTTGGTAATAATTGTAAATAGTTATAGAAAAATGACGAAACAGCAATATGTGGAAGTATTATAAACATAATGTTTCATTTGTCTTCATCTAAAAAGATATCATTAAGTTAACCAGAAAAAGGTATAAACGAATTTACGTATGACTTCAGCTAAACAGGCATCAACAAGAGGAATTGATATTCCTTGTTTTCAACTAAACAGGCATCAACAAGAGGAATTGATATCCCTTGTTTTCAACTAAACAGGCATCAACAAGAGGAATTTATATCCCTTGTCTTCAACTAAATAGGCATCAACAAGAGGAATTAATATTCATTGTTTTCAACTAAACAGGCATCGACAAGAGGAATTGATATCCCTTGTTTTCAACTAAACAGGCATCAACAAGAGGAATTGATATCCCTTGTTTTCAACTAAACAGGTATCAACAAGAGGAATTGATATCCCTTGTCTTCAACTAAACAGGTATCAACAAGAGGAATTGATATCCCTTGTCGTCAACTAAACAGGCATCAACAAGAGGAATTGATATCCCTTGTCTTCAACTAAACAGGTATCAACAAGAGGAATTGATATCCCTTGTCTTCAACTAAAAAGGCATCAACAAGAGGAATTGATATCCCTTGTCTTCAACTAAACAGGCATAGTAAAGTAGAAAATAAATTAAATGAAGAATGTTTCTTGTCATCAAATAAAGGGAAGTTAGCAAATAGAAATAGTTATACAGGGAAGGTGTTATTTGGCTTCAGCTAAATGGGCTTCTTATAAAGGGGTAATTCGTTTGTATTCTATTAAAGCGGCATTAGTAAGAAGTATAACTATAAAATGAAAATCACTTGTCTTCAGCTGAAACACATTAGTGAACTGTTATAAATATAAACGAAAAGAAGCATTTAATAATAAATATAAAAGTGGGGGAGGGTTCTTGTCATAGGCTAAAGGCAAAAACAACGATAAGTTGAAATGATTATTCAGAAAGCCGTGTATTTTAGGATAATACAACACCTGTTGCTGTATTCTAAAGTTTGCTTGGACTTTGCGCACAATGCTAAGTCAAATAACAAATGGGTTTCATGACAGTTATCTTTCAGTTATCTTGAACTACGTTAAAATGATTGTGAAATTAAACCTTTTAATAAATCTGTCAAAGTGATGGGATAAAACTTTGTTAGAGAAGGAGCTAGTAACAAATATTGTTTTATTTAATTACAGACTTAATAATATTATAAATGCTCATAAGAGTACAGAGATTCACTCAAAAAGCTAGTTCGTATACTGTCATTATATCCCAAAATTACACAGGATTTTCATTTCTTTAAACTACAGGGAAAAGGTGATGTTGAGAATGATGCCTCTAAAATCAATGGCTAAATCATAGTTTAATAAAGTAAAAGTATGCGAAACAAATAAATAAATAGTTCACATCAAAATAAATTATGTATTTAATTATATTCAAAATCTATTTTAGATTATTCCAAAAAATGTTGTTGTTTTTAAACATTTAAAAGTAAGCCTTCAATTTTATCTCTAAAGTATAGAATAGAATTACATTAACAGAAACCAACCTGAGAAAAATTAAAATCGTATTTAATCACCCACACCATAGTGATTGAATAAAGAAATGTTTCGAGTGATGCAAGTAAAATGGCGCAGTAGTAACTGTACATTTTATAGCTCAATAATGATAATACCTATTATGCTATCATATTGTGGTTTTTACAATAGTTTACCGAAATATCATTGAAAACAGAATTTAATAATGTGCAGAATAATGTATTTAATAAATATAATTTACTATTATAATTTCAAATATTTGCTGCCCTCTGTTGGCATATATCCCCAAGGTGAAATTGCTCCTTAAAACTAAATGATTTTTTTGGATCAAAGCCACATTGGGCTATCTGCTGAGTCTACCTCGGGGAATCGAACCACGGATTTTAGCCATGTAAGTCCGTAGACTTACCGCTATCTCACCAGGGGACTAAAACTACATGAATCTAGAGGTATGTAAGAAATATGATGGTCATATATATCAATCAATGATAAAATAAACGGAATGGTCCTACCATCTACAGCGAACAAACAGTTGTACTTGAATCATATAAGAAAGAAGAAAAAGAAAGGCAACTAGAACAAAAATATGAGCATAGTAAAATAATGGATTGAATGTATAAAAAGGCATATAGTTTAGTAGAAAGTGCTTAAGCATGCAGGCTGTTTGCTATATTGAAATAAAACGTAGACTTATTTTCAATAAACATTTCTCACGTAGCTTACGTATATCTTTTTCCATAAACTTATATACACTTAGAATCCGATACATTTATCTATATATATTTATACATATATAGGCACACATACACAATATGTAGCTTGGGAAATCTAAACTTTTACTTGCTATAGATTGCCGTAATTAAAGTAAGTCGTTTTTGTGCAAAAACAGTCAATTCAAAACCTTAATTATCAGCAAAATACGCACATCTATCACAGAAACAGAAGGGTAAAAAGTAGCTGCTGAAGTCCAAGAAAGTTTAAAAATATAGGAAAAGTCATTAGCATTACCCTTTTCTTCTCAAAACTTTATTCCTGTTTTTTTTTCCAACGACCACTCACTTTTCACAAGGGTAAATTCAGCTTGAACTTCTTTAGAATCATATGGGGATAAACGGAAAGAAAAACATTTTTTGACTAATATCATAATCATGGTTTGACTAATTTTCCCCGCAATACAGCACACGTAAAACCGTTCAGCTATCTTGAGATATTTTAGTATTAAATTGTTGTAGAGGTACTCTTGTCCTTACTAGTCTCATTGAAGTAGTAAAAGATTAATGACGTGACAAGTATTTTCATTATCGTTAAACCTATCTTACTAACAATTGCAGCTTAACTTTTTATTTCATCATCATGTTGTGTGAACTTTTTTTACTTGCGGTTTCTGATTCCTAGAAACCGGACCGAGAACGCACGAGACTGTGGATCTGAGGAATCCTGGTTCATATCGACTTATCACCAAACAAATTCACGCTCCGCACGTTGGGGCTGTGAGTGCGTTATAAGAGTGGTGGTCAAATCCCACTATTCAGACTGATAAGAGAAGCCCGTGAGTTGGCGGTAGGAGATAATTACTAACTGCCTTCCCTCTAGTCTATCACTTAAAAATTTGGTACGGCTAGTGAAGATAGTCTTTGTGTAACTTTGCGCGAAATTCAACAAAATAAAGACATCTATACCCCGAGTAATAGTTTACACGTTTTTTGTTTTCGGTTATCCATTCCACTAGGTGTAGCTTATAATTTTCCTATTCTATTTATTAATGTGATTAGAGGAAAAACTCGAAACAATAGAAACTCACATTCACAAGATTACAGCAATAACTACAGATTCGAGAGGTATGCTGAAGGACTAAGTGTAGGAATTTGTAGGTTAAATGAAAAAAACAGTATTGGTGTGAAGGCAAACAAATACATATTTTGTTATAAAGGAAATATCACTCGAACCAGAAGTTGACAATGAAGAATAGAAAGGAATTGTGAAGATAGTTTTTAAATATGTGAAAGTTGTTACAGGTAAAAAAAAATATAAAATACTGTATTTAATGAAGATAAAACTGTAGATTAACATAAGCCAAGGTTGTCTAAACGCTGTTAAAAATAAAATCAACGAAATAAAATAGTATGTTGCACGGTCAACGCGCATATACTGTCACTTGCACGAAAAAGGGATAATGGCAACCTCAAGAATTTGGTACCTTCGTTGCTCTAAGTGACACTCATAAAATATTCTCAAACTTAATTGCAGATACTATTCTTAATCGATTGAAACTAAGACCAAATCAATATATTGTTACGCCTCCAGTCGTTAGTTAATTTTCCGTAACTTCGTTCCCACGAAACTTTAGCGACACAAGTCCTTTCTTAATAAAACTGGTTTATTCTTTCTGAATATAACTTTACCGATACACTTATTTTCAACAGTCGCTCTATAACAAACGCTATAACAACGAACGTTAACTTCAACAATACTTTCTGACTGCAGTTCAATTACTCACTACCTACACACACACTCTGTCACGTCACGCCGTGACCATCTTATATATACCACCCCACCCCCAATCTAGCAAATGACAGAGCACTCCCGAAGGAACAGGATAGTCCTAGAAAACGGGTGGCGTGTTACTAGTTACGTGATCTCGCTGACGCAACAATATATTTAAGACTGAAACTTTAGAAAAGAGTTCGATATGCGATATCTCCACGTTAGACGATTAGAAATGTTAT